CTGTCTGATGCTGTGAAAAAGGCTTAGGTGATACGCCACTGTGTATACGTGTATGCATGCACACAACACACACACCAAGAACTAGCTCTCTGTTGTTGTTGGTAGGTGCCATTGAGTCGGTTCCAACTCATAGTGACCCCATGCACAACAGAATGAAACACTGCCTGGTCGTGTGCCATCCTCACAGTTGTTAAATGCTTGAGCCTGTTGCTGCACCCACTGTGTCAATCCATCCCCTTGAGGATCTTTCTTTTTTCACTGACCCTCTACTTTACCAAGCATGATGTCCTTCTCCAGGGACTGGTCCCTCCTGACAACATGTCCAAAGTATGTCAGACATAATTTCGCCATCCTTCCTTCAAAGGAGCATTTTGGTTGTACTTCTTCCAAGACAGATTTGTTCATTCTTTTAGCAGTCCATAGTATATTCAGTATTCTTCGCTAACACTACAATTTGAAGGTGTCAGTTCTTCTTTGGTCTTCCTTATTCATTGTCCAGCTTTCACATGCATATCAGGTGATTGAAAACACCATGGCTTGGGGCAGGCACACCTAAGTCTTCAAGGTGCCATCTTTGCTCTCCATATGAGTAATTTATTCTAACTCTTCATAAGGTGTGCAGTTGGAATTCTTTCAACAGGAAGCCCTGTTGGGCTTTTGGAAAACTCATGGGCCCTGTATGGCAAAGAATGAACCTACTGTTTATTGGAGCTTGAGTTCACCCAGAGGTAGCTCAGAAGAAAGGCCTGGTGATCTACTTCTGAAAAATCAGTCATTGAAATCCCTATGGAGCACTTCTTACTCTGACACACATGAGGTTGCCATGAATTGGAATTGACTGACTCAATGGCAACTGAGTTTTGGTTTAAGGTTCCTTGATATGGCCTTGGGTCCTGGTGCAGGACAGGCCTCCAGGCCCCATCTTCCCTTCAACCCAGAGCAGCTCTGCTTTTATTTGCTTTATACACACAGCAGAGGTACAAACCAGACTGCCCATAGGGATCAGGTAGGTAACAAAAAGGGAAGAAGCAACCTTGTAGGGATGGTTTTGAAATAGAAGAGGATTCTCTAAGGGGCAAGGAAAGTTGCTACTCAGCTCACTGTAGGTCTGTTGCCAGATCTTATATTTTTGAGGTGAGCAGTCTGGGTTTTTTTGGTGAACTCCTCCAGTCTTTAAATTGTTACCAAGTAATCTGAAATTTAAAAACAAACAAAAAAACAGGTTAAAAGACCCATACCTCACACCATGCACAAAAACTAACCCAAAATGAATCAAAGACTTAAATATAAAATTGAAAACGATAAAGATCATGGAAGAAAAAAATAGGGACAACGCTAGGAGCCCTAACACATGGCATAAACACAATACAAACCATAAGTAACAATGCACAAGCACCAGAAGAGAGACTAGATAA